GATCATTCGTAAGGGGAGGGGCTTTGTGTCTCAGGACAAACCTTTTATTCCTTCCTTAAAAAAACACTGAAGAATTTGCTATATTTTTTCATTTAATTATTAACCGATGAATATTAAATGATTTTTAACACATTGAAAAAATAATTTTAAGGTTAAATAAGCAGACATTAAACTCTTTCTTCTAAAACTTTTAGCATTAAAACCTAATTGCATGAAATTGAATTAGTATGTTATTATCAGTCTTATAACTTTTTTCGGATGACCTTAATAATATTTACCTATACAATGATTTTTTGACAGAATTTTATATATTGTAGAATACGTTCTTTTTATCGACACATTAATTGCTGCCGTAATTGTTATTTTTCGCGACGTCAAACTGTGAAATATCGGGAAAAGATGCTTTTTTCGAGATTTAACCATTAGCTTAAAAACGGGCACATGGGCCCCTCTTTTTAAAATGACGTTTGGCTTGATACTGTATGAAGATTATTCGTTCCAACTTTAATGGAGAAATAACCGACTTTTTTCAACTTGACAAATATACAACAAAAATGACGGTTTTTTTTCTAAAATCAATTTCTTTTAACAAAAATTAAATAATAATAAAGAATTTTTACACAAATGTATAGCCCAATTTTGAATGAAGATATTCCTGATTTCAAATTAGCATATGTTTATCTTTTGAAACAAACAAGTTAAGGATGTCTTTTTAAAGGACAGAAATGTCCAAGAAACATAAATTTTAAGTAAATGTCGAAAAATTTAAACCCATTTATCTTTTAAATTTAGCACATGAAGATATAAACTTATTACATATTCAAATTGATTTTGTAAACATTAGCTTGTATGTGAACTTTCGTGAAAAATCACTGTTGGTTTAAACAGAGACATATAATACAATTTGTATTATATGTCTCTGATTTAAAACTGTATCGTTTGCCAATAATTGCCCTAAAGCTAAATGTCATCGCCAGATTATAAGGGTCTGAATGGGGATTCATTATTTTTGTATTCTATCATTGTATGCAATTTTTTCTATTCGTTATAACTTTTGCCGATTATTCTTTATTCCATATATTCTAGTACCTCATCATTCTCTTTTCTATATATTTGTCTGGTTATTTTCTGTATAATTTTTTTTTTGTCAATAATTTTTTATTCTGTAAACCCCCATCCACACCTTCATGTATAATGGAAGACGATAAACATGTTAGTATACATACCACCCGTTGTCACTTCTCACCTGACATACAAACCACATGTCTCACCTGAATTCATGACTTATATATATATTACGCAATAGAATGTACAATTATCGATATAGTAAATTCAGTAGAATCTAACCTGTATCAACGCACTGGCTTGTTAAATGTATTTTGATCTGACAACAAGAATACATTTGTTTATCATATTTTTAGTTTATTTAAAATTGATAATTTAAATGGGGGATATGTCAAAGAGACAAAAACCCGAAAAGAGCAAATCACAGCCAAAGTCCACCAGTTATATTTGATCACGTTTTAGTTTCGAAAAAGGCAAAAACCATCGTATTTTCAAAAAATCTCTAAAAGGATGATGAAAGTTTTAACGACCTTGACTGGCTATACAGGCTGAGCCCTCGCACGGCCAATCTCTAAAAGTTGCCGAATTTAAGAGCCTATATCATGTATATCAAGAGTTATGCTTTACCTAGCTTTAGGGGTTTTAAAAAATATGCATTTTATTTTAGGAACCAAATTGTGGCTTCTTTATATTTATATCAAAATTGAAATTCAAGGCAGTATTTTGTCGAAGAGAACAATTACCCAGAGTGCAAGGTGCGAGAACAGTTTTGATTTTCCCTTAAATATTTTTATTGAAGTGACTAATCTTTTGAGGTTACGTCACGGAAATATATTTTAAATGAACAGGTGCAACTGGATGCATCCCTAAAATCAAATTAAAAATATATATTTATATAAAATGACGGGTATTCGTCAATCAGACAGCAATCCAACATAAACACGAGTGGGTTACCTGACATCTAGAATAAGAGGTTTAAGCATATCCCGCGCTGGTATCAACTTTCTGAGTTCTGAGTAAAATTCAATATACATGTAGGACTCTGAAACGTGAAATATACGAAAGTTTTGTTTACGTGCGATTGAGAGTGGCATTCCCTAAATACATACGGGTCCACAAACTATTCTTGATATAATATAACGGTAAATGAGGATCTCATTAGAGGAACAAAGTAAAGATACATGTTGAAGCAAGAATAATTTCCACATGTAGAACATCAAAAAGGACGATCTCTCAATTAGTATATGCAACTGTAACAAATACGTCCATAGACAATGACACTAGTAAATGCTTTATATACTGACATTGAAACAAATATACTGCTCATAATAATTGCACATCTGTAGACTTTAATCTAGGTATCCCGCGTTCTTTGAGAACTAGTGAAATAAAATACCGTTTCTTTTCAATGAAATATTGTTGATGTTTTTGGCAACTAAAGCAGCAACATTGTCGTTATTAAATAAAAATATATTTATTATTATTAAATTTTTCGCTATCTGATAATAGATTATAATGTTCATTAAAATGTTTAGCTTGATGTACCATGATTTGTCTTAAATCTACATATAATGGGCATTTTAAAAGGACATGAAGTTCATCTTCAATAGTAGAGCTACAAAACATGTCATCTCGTGGACTTCTTTTCTTTCATACCTTCCAGTTTCTATTTTTAGTGGAGCTACCCCACATCTAAATCTTGCAGAAGCACTTCTGTTTTAAGTGACAGAATATTTTTAACAAGCAACAGTTGTTCAACAAAATTTTGTTCAGCCTACTTCGCTCAGTTGAATATAAAATCCAATTTTAACTGTTCTGTCGTAGAAATGTCATCATGTTATTGTTTGTACGTATCTAACATGTATCATTATATTAAAATGTATCAGTTCCAGCCAAGACTCACTGAATAAACACGAAATATTTACAGACAGATAAATAAATTTTACACAAAAAGTCATAAATCTGAATGAACGTTATGTACGATGAAGTTAATTAAGAGTTCTTAAGAAAAAAAGTAAGAATATAAATTTTATTTAAAAGTCGGAACATATAAACACTATAACAGATAAAATATAAGCTTTGATGAGCTCTATAACCGACTATCATATAAAAACTACAACGAATGAACAATACACGATTAGAGATGAACGATTGACGAATGCACGTTACACGGTTAAACACGATTGATGAACGCATGATACACGGTTAAGAATGAATGATTGATGAGTGCACGTTACACGGTTAAGAATGAATGATTGATGAGCGCACGATACACGGTTAAGAATGAATGAACGATACACGCACGTTTCACGAAAAACACACGGAATGATGAATGATGAGCGCACGATTGGTACACGCACGATACACGCACGCAACACGAACGATACACGATGAACGCACGGAAAAATTGTCAGTTTGAATTTTAGAAGGTATGTAGCTGACTTTGCGGTATAGGCTTTGCTCATTGTTGAAGGCTGTACGGTGTCCTATAACTGTTAATTTCTGTGTCATTTGGTCTCTTGTGGAGAGTTGTCTCATTGACATTGGCAATCATACCACATCTTCTCTTTCATATTTAATTCAAAATTGCATTCACTAATTCGGAAAGATACACACAAGCACAACAAAAGAAAAGAAATTTTGCTATCCCTTCGAAATTAGAATTTGATAAAGCAAAACTCACATACTTTATTTTTATCATACATGTCCAGTTTCAGTTTCAACCATGATTCTAAATTTAGAATTTACTTTCCCCAAAAATTGTGGACGGAATAGAAGACACCAGGTCCTGTTATTTTTTTCTACACCTGCCAGGATAAGGGTCAAAAACAGAGAGTTGAATGATATAGTGTAATGTTTCGTGGACTGAATCTGATGGGTTTTTTTTCTTCTTGTTGTCTTTGTTCCTCAACATGTAAATGAGGCACTAGTGGTTGGTTATCGCCTTGGTATCTTCTGACTTTTTATATGAATATAAATCATGTCCGAAATTTTCAATTGCATAAAAAAAACAACATGTCAGCGTTTTTTTCAACACACAAATACACATGTCATGTATAAACTATTCGTAACCTACAATTTTACACTATGAAGTGTATTTCATTCAAAACTGCGGTTTTCAAAAAAAAAGTAAAGTGGAGTCAATTCTGGTTTGATTTTAATCAATTTGGTACGAATAGAAGCATAATTATCCTTGATTTATTCATTTATTGTTAGGCTTTTCACTTTTTATAATTTTTACTTAATTATATTATATGTAAGGGCTGTTATGATCCTTTCTGGTTCTCTTCATTTGCCACTTTGAAAAAATCTGACCTCCTGGTTTTCTTTTGTAAATTTATTTTACCTTTTACCTTCAATTTTTTTTCTTTTTTGTCTCTTTGAAGATTCATTTATGGAAAACGTGTAACTTTAAATTGATTAAAAGATTAAATAAATAACAATAGGTGAACATCTGCTCTTAGCAACAAAGTAAACATTCTGATCAGGATCTTTTAAATTTTTGCATATTGCATGTGATTTTAAAACGCTGCAATGAAACAGACCATGAATTAGAGATATCTTTCTAATGTGTTGTGTACCCCCTTAAAAGATACATTTCCATTCAACAGAAATTATTTTTTACCAGATTCTAAGATTTACCTATTATTAACAGTAACAGTTATGTAGAAACGTATACCAACAACATCGATCAGCATACACGATATTTTTCTATAATGTAACCGATTGTGCTCTAGGAGCCATTTATTAGTCATCACTTAAATGAATATTATTCAACATTTTCACTTAACCATATATATATATTGTTTGTGGTAGTATTAAAGTATTGATGTGTCGTCGTTATACTCTCAATCTGGCTTTAGCTATTAAGGTTTGATGTTATTTCAAGATCAATATTTTTAAATGTTTTAAAATAATCTTTTTTTCTGTTTTAGCAATGTTCACATCGGAATTGTACCCAATGAAATGTATAGAAGGAGAACACCTACAGTTGAAATGTTCAGTTTATTCGGAAGACGTTTTTGTGGAATGGTCTAAAGGCGGTGCGAGAATCAACGAGTATGAGAATATAGTAATTGAGAGTGACGAAATGCACCACTGTATGACAATTCAACAAGCTAAATTGAGTGATGCTGGTCAATATATTATAGTTGCGGGAAACGTACGAAAACAAGTGACAGTAAATGTTCAAGGTAACATTTAAAAGATAAAGATTAGTATTCTCATTCTGAATATCAAACTCTTGCTTCTTTTTTTTTTTTAAATGTCATAATGTAGAATTTTAAAAAACAAAATGCACCATTTGCGAGTTTGAGCCTTGTATTTCAAAAACTGTAACAGATTGATTAACAAACACAATCAATTCACTAAAGATAATAGATGACTCCTTTAAATAATTTTGCCTTTTGATGGAGAATATTTTGACCACATTCTTAGTTTTACCAATTATAAACGTAATTAGTTATGAAAAAATGTATAGCAACAGAAATGACGAGCAATAGACGATATTTTCCTTTAATGTGACCGATTGCAAATATAATACAAGCCCAAACGAAAAAATATAAACAAGTCTAAATTGAAAACAACGTTCAAACCTATGATTGCGTTCGATAAAAACTGCAATTTTTATACGTGTGCATGCAAAACAAATTTCTTGGTAGAGGGGTCTAAATCAGCACAAACAACATTTTCCAAAAGACAAATTGAGTGAAAAAGTATATTTTAACAAAACGCATTTGACTAGCAGGTCGAACAACTGATGTTCTTAAAACCTGCTGACTGCCATTGGCGATTGCCAAATAAACGGATCACAAGATGTAACAAAATAGATCTTATTATTAATTTATTACCAAACAGAAAACAATAAACTTGCGGAAAAGATGGTATACCGCAAACATGAGGTGCAAAAATTTGTACACCATATCCGGATTTCGACAATTAATGTCCCTTCAGTGATGTTAGGAATCGAAACGGTATTTGGAAGGCTATATATAATTTACCTCAATTTAGATCTATTTTGTTACATCTTGTGATCCGTTTATTTGGCAATCGCCAATGGTAGTCAGCAGGTTTTAAGAACATCAGTTGTTCAACCTGCTGGTCAAATGCGTTTTGTTAAAATATACTTTTTCACTCATTTTGTCTTTGGAAAATGTTGTTTGTGCTGTATATATATATATATATCATTTGCTGTAATTTGATAGTGTTGATGTGTCATCGTCAAAGTCTTAATCTGTGTTTAGCTATACATATTTAATATGGTTTTTTTTCAATATAAATAATTTCAGTTGTTGTCAAATAATGTATTTTTTGTTTTAGCAATGTTTACATCGCAATTCAACCCAATCAAATGTATAGAGGGGGAAAAGCTACAATTAAAATGTTCAGTTTATTCGGAAGACGTTTTTGTGGAATGGTCTAAAGGCGATGTGAGAATCAACGAGTATGAGAATATATTAATTGAGAGTGACGGAATGCACCACTGTATGACAATTCAACAAGCTAAATTGAGTGATGCTGGTCAATATATTATAGTTGCTGGAAACGTACGAAAACAAGTGACAGTAAATGTTCAAGGTAACATTTAAAAGATAATGATTGGTATTCTCATTCTGAATATCAAACTCTTGCTTTTTTTTTTTTAAATGTCATAATGTAGACTTCATATGATGAAGACACAATCTTTCAATCAGTTTCATTGATGTCTGGAGCTGGCATGTCAGTAACTGCTAGTAGTCTGTTGTTATTTATGTATTATTGTCATTTTGTTTATTTTCTTTTGTTTCCTATCCTGACATCGGACTCGGACTTCTCTTATACTGAGTTTTACTGTGCGTACTGTTGTGCGTTTGTTTTTTCTACATTGGCTAGAGGTATAGGGGGAGGGTTGAGATCTCAAAAAACATGTTTAACCCCGCCGCATTTTTGCGCCTGTCCCAAGTCAGGAGCCTCTGGCCTTTGTTAGTCTTGTATCATTGTTAATTTTAGTTTCCTGTGTATAATTTGGAGTTTAGTATGACGTCCATTATCACTGAACTAGTATACTTATTTGTTTAGGGGCCAGCTGAAGGACGCTTCCGGGTGCGGGAGTTTCTCGCTGCATTGAAGACCCATTGGTGGCCTTCGGCTGTTGTCTGCTCTATGGTCGGGTTGTTGTCTCTTTGACACATTCCCCATTTCCATTCTCAATTTTATTTTAAAACAAAATGCACCATTTGCGAGTTTCAACCTTGTATTTCAAAAACTGTAACAGATTGATAGTCAATTTATCAAGCAAAAGCAATAAGCATGAGACAAGATTAACAAAAACAATCAATTCACTTAAGATAATAGATGACTCCTTTAAAGAATTTTGCCTTTTGAGGGAGGATATTTTTTACCACATTCTTAGTTTTACCGATTATAAACATAATTAGTTATGAAGAAATGTATAGCAACAGAAATGATGAGCAATACACGATATTTTCCTTTCATGTGACCGATTTGGCTCGAAGGAGCCATTTATTCGTTATCATCTACTTTTATTTTTGACAGGAACAGAAACATTGTTTTGATTTGTCGGAAATAAAAATATATATGAATTTCATAGAGAGGTTAAAGGATAACTTCGATGTTTTTATTCAGAAAATTAATTGCATGTTTTTCATTCATATTTTATCATTTTATCTTCTTAACAATAATGAAACAACTTTTGAAATGTCATGCAGATGATTCATTGTCTCAGACCTAAAAATGGCATGATCAGGTTTATTGAGAAATGTCATTTTCAAATTAATATATACAGCAGATAAGAGATCTCCATATAATCTACAGCTATATTGATTAAATATACATTTAATGTACAGGGTATATTGTTTGTTCCCTGCGGCTTGATGGCGTTGTAAAATTAAAATTATTGGCTACATTACAAATAATAATCCAACTAGGTTTCTAATTATTTAGTTTTTATTGAAAACTTAAATGAATATTATTCAGCATTTTCACTTGACCATATATATAAATATATTATTTGTCGTAATTTGATACATGTAGTGTTGATGTGTCGTCGTCAAAGTCTAAATCTGCGTCTAGCTATAAATATTTAATATGGTTTTTTTTTCAATATAAATGATTTCATTTGTTGTCAAATAATGTATTTTTTGTTTTAGCAATGTTTACATCGCAATTCAACCCTATCAAATGTATAGAAGGGGAAAAGCTACAATTAACATGTTCAGTTTATTCGGAAGACGTTTTTGTGGAATGGTCTAAAGGCGATGTGAGAATCAACGAGTATGAGAATATATTAATTGAGAGTGACGGAATACACCACTGTATGACAATTCAACAAGCTAAATTGAGTGATGCTGGTCAATATATTATAGTTGCGGGAAACGTACGAAAACAAGTGACAGTAAATGTTCAAGGTAACATATAAAAGATAAAGATTGGTATTCGCATTCTGAATATCAAACTCTTGCTTCTTTTATTTTTAAATGTCTTAATGTAGACTTTTAAAACAAAATGCACCATTTGCAAGTTTCAGCCTTGTGTTTTAAAAACTGTAACAGATTGATAGTCAATTTATCTAGCAAAAGCAATAAGCATGAGACAAGATTAACAAAAAACAATCAATTCACTTAAGATAATAGATGACTCCTTTAAATAATATTGCTTTTTGATGGAGAATATTTTTTTACCACATTCTTAGTTTTACCAATTATTAACATAATTAGTTATTAAGAAATGTATAGCAACAGAAATGATGAGCAATACACGATATTTTTCTTTCATGTGACCGATTGGGCTCTAAGGAGCCATTAATTCGTTATCATCTTCTTTTATTATAGACAGGGACAGAAATATTGTTTTGCTATTGTCGGATATAAGTATACATATGGATTTCATGGACTTGCAAAAAAATAACCTCGATTTTTTATTCAGAAAATTCTGTTTCTGTTGCTTTTTATTTCATTCATATTTTATGTCATATAAAGATAATAATGACACATATTTTAATATCAGCGGAAGATTCATTGTCTCAAAACTACATGGCTTGATCAGGGCCATTGAGAAATGTCCATTTCTAATTAATATATACAGCAGATAAGGGATCTCCATATAATCTACAGCTATATTGATAAATTAAAACAAACATTGCATGTATAGTGTACTTTGTTTGTACCCTGCTGCACAAGTTTTGGCAAAAATAATGGTTCCATTGCAAATAAGAATGCAAAAACATTTATAAGATTTACAGAAAACCTTATTAAATATTATTCAAAAATGGTAATTTACAATATATATATTTGCAGTAGTATCGATGCTTTGTTGTTATAGTTTCGATCTTCTTTTAGCCAATAAGTTTTATAATGTTTTTTTTTATAATGATAATGATAAAGTATCAATCTACCAATTATTATATGTTTTAGAAATGTTTACATCGAAATTCAACCATTCAATAAAATGTATAGAAGGGGGAAAGTTACAGTTGAAATGCTCAGTATATACGGAAGATGTTTTTGTGAAATGGTCTAAAGACGAAGCAAAGATCAAACAGAATGAGAATATATCAATTGAAATTGATGGAAAAGATCACTGTTTGACAATTCAACAGGCTAAATTGAGTGAAGCTGGTCAATACATGATGGTCGCTGGAAACGTACGAAAACAAGTAACAGTAAATGTTATAGGTAACATATAAAAATAAACAAATATTCCAACCTTGAACATCAAACTCTAGCATGTTTTTGTTAATCCATGTTAATGTTTTGTGAATGCTTTTTAAAAAATGCCTAATTTGCAAGTGTTTGCTTATATCTCAAAAATAAATAGAAACTACATAAAGCAAAAAAAAAAAAAAAAAAAAAAATCAGAAATACACAATGTGTAAAACTACTGTGCTCATCGAAAACCTTGGTTGATTCATTTTATGAGTAAATGCCCTTCAATGGATATTTGTTTTCCAATCTTTTAGTTTTGCCCTTAGCCATGACAAGTAGATATGAAGAAACGTTAAACAGCAAAACAAACTAGCAAGATATGCTGTTTCAGGCTCTTATTAGTTAAAAATTTTCCAAATGTTGGACAAGAATAGAACAATATTTTATTAATCATGATGATGTTTGAAAGTATATAACATTTTTTTTTATTTATTGTGCACAAAGTTCTGTTCTGGTTTGATTGGAATAAAGATGGAATCTGTTGGCTGATAACATCAGTGACTTTATTTTCTATAACCGGTGTGCATAATTTTTTTTTTTATTTTAAATTTGTATATTTCATACTTAAGATTTACCAAAAAAGGAATTATCAAACATGTTTTGAAATGTCATGTAGAGGATCAATTGATTTCACACTAAGAAGGCTCGATCAGATTTATTGCGAACTGTCTATTACAAACTGATAGGATCTCCATATCACAGAAAGCTAGGATAATAAATTAAAAACAAATATACACTGCACGTAGTTTTTTGCAAAATTAATGATTCGATGAATAGAAAGATAGGACTGTTTTTTTATTTGAAATAATTGAAAACTTCATGAATATGTTTCAACATTTTTACTTGACCAGTTATATAAATTGCGTAGCTAGCTATAACACAGATTTAGTCCATCATTTTTTACATAAGAAAATGCCTGTACAAAGTCACGAATATGACATTTGTTATCCATTCGTTTGATGTGTTTTTGATTTTGTCATTTGATTGGGGACTTTCCGTTTTTAACCCATTTCTCTGACGTCAGTCTATTGTTCTACTGTCGATTATTTTTCAAGAATCCACTTAACACTGTGTTAACATGTAATTTCAATCGTTTGAAGGAACTGAATTAGATTGAAATTAAGTTCTTCTAGTTGTCTGCCCGTAGATCGTTATTCGTTTTCCCGCGCTTCATGGGATATCACCATTCAGCACGACAGGGAAGACTCGAATAGACGTGTTTCACCGTTTATAGCAAACATGGATTTAGATACAACCTCTGAAGAAATCTTTGCGTACAGTTTTAATCGTCAAAAGCAGGATATTGAAGTTCTTGAGGACACCAAAATCAGCGAAAAGATAAATAGTTTGCGCGACAAAATTCATGACACAAACCAATGTATGAAGTCCCAAGTCAAGAAGTGGAAGTCGGACTCCCAGTATAAATGGCGTTCTGAAGGTAAGAAAATTCAGTTCAATTGTAATACCTAGAATTTACAAGATTTAACCCAAGCTCTTTGGGCTATTGACAATGGCAAAGTTGACTATGCTAGAGGCATTATTGCATCATGACCCGAGAGGTTCAAACATAGAAATAAGTTAATAAAGTTCGCGGATACTTCTGATGAAGGGTGGGATACAGCTCGCCTGTACGAGGCAAACCCAATTACTATCGATTCAAAAGATAAATCCAAGGTTATCAGAGCTGAAAACAGGGCCATTATGAAGAAAAAGTCAAAGAGCAAACCAGCAGCCTAACATCAGCAGATTCCTGCCACCTCTAACACTAACTTCAATCCTCAACAGCCCTTTCAAGGGGATCAGTCGTCTTGGTATGGAGGTTTCCCGTATGCCCTAGACCAGTACGCTTGAAATCTCAACGCGGACCATGCTTCAATTGTGGGTCTTACAACCACTGGAAAGTTAACTGCCCCTTCTAAAACAACAATACAGCAGCATCACACAAAAGAAACTAGTTTTATAAAAGATGAGTATAATTTTGACACAAGTTCTTTAGAAAATTTGTCTGAACCAACTTTTACACATGATTATTTCGAATATGAGCAAGATGGTACTAATATTTTTGTTAAGGGTAGGCTGAAGGAAAATATCCTATTTTGGATAAATATTGGTGCTTATGGTTATATTATTGACACTATAAGAGATGGTTTTAAATACCATTTTATTTTATTCCACCGTCTACGTATTAATATAACAATTTATCAGCTTTAAATAATTCCGATTTTGTACATACAGCTATTCAGGATTTATTACATAGAGGTTTGATAGTTCAGTGTGACAAACGACCTTTTGTTGTTAATCCTCGTACTGTATCAGTGCAATCTAATTCAAAGAAAAGATTGATACTTGATTTGAGAGCGGTTAAGAAACATTTATGGCAACAGAACGTTAAATTTGAGGATATGAGAACTGCTTAACAGCAAATTAAATTGAACTATTCTATGTTTAATTTTGATGTTCACTTAGCTTATAACCATGTTGATATTTTTGAACCACACACAGAGTATTTAGGTTTTCATGGATCATTAATGGGTATCCTACATTTTTCAAATTTCTTGTTTTACCATTTGGATTAGGAACAGCTTGTTTTCTTTTTACTAAACTGACTAGGCCGCTTGTAAAGAATTGGCGATTTGAAGGTAAACAAGTCATTATGTATCTTGATGATAAGTTAGGTATTGAACAAGATCTAGAAATGTGCAAGATTGTGTCAGAACAAGTTAGGCTAGATTAAGTTAAAAGTGGCTTTGTACCGAATGCCGAAAAATCATTGTGGGAACCTACTAAACGTCTGGTTTGGTTTGGTTAGAAACATTTATGGATACAGAGTATGGCTTTTATAAATTACCAGATAATAGAATAAATAAGATGATACATTCTTTTGATGACATTATATCTTGTTTGACTGGGCGCAAAAGCATGTACGTGAAAAAAGTTGCATCTGTTGTGGGTCAGATAATATCTACATATTTAGTTATTGGAAATTTAGTTTATTTAATGGCTAAACATTTAACTATAGACGTGAACACATCTGCGTCTTGGTATTTTATTTTAAACTTTCTGAATCTAGTATTGCACAGTTCTGGAAACTGTATATTAGTGAAGTAATGTAAATAGATATAAGAAGATGTTGTATGCGTGCCAATGAGACAACTCTCCATCCAAGTCATAGTTTGTAAAAGTGAACCATTATAGGGCAAAGTACGGTCGTCAACGCGGAGCCTTGGCTCACACCGAACAGCAAGCTATAAAGGGCCCCACAAATGACTAGTATAAAATCATTCAAACGGGTAAACCAACAGTCTAATCTATATAAAAAAAGAGAAACGAGAAACATTTATGAACCACATCAACAAACGACAACCACTGAACATCAGGTTCCTGACTAAGGACAGGTGCAAACAAACGCAGCGGGTTTAAACGTTTTAATAGGTACCAACCTTCACCCTTACCTGAAACAATAGTGTAACATCACAACATAGAAAGACACACTATAAAATATCAATTGAAATGGCTTAACTCAATCAAAAGACATATGAAAATAAACAAGTGAATATACACTGAACGAATAAATTTGAACTATGACACAATGTAAATACAAAATCAATTTTAGTGTTGATGAATCATGTCATAGTATTATCTATAGCGACGCTAATGATACAGGCTTTAGAGGTTATATTGTAGAAACACCCAAAAACATTGCACGTGGTATGTGGGTTGAATCAGAACGTAGAAATAGTTCAACTTGGAAGGAGCTTTCAGTGGTTAAGAAAGTTTTGTTGTCATTAATACATTTTATATCTGGAAAAAAAGGTCAAATGGTTTACAGATAACCAAAATGTTGTGAGCATTGTACGCATGGCAAGTACGAAAACTATTTCACAAAATTTAGCGTTTGACATATTTAGTTCATGTTTGAAGTACAATGTCAACAATGATATAGTTTGGATACCTAGGACACAAAACGAAAAAGCTGATTTTTTTTAGTCGCATCGTTGATCATGATGATTGGGGAATATCATATTATATGTTTCAATTGGTAGAAGCATTATGGGGACCCCATGAAGTGGATTGGTTTGCTTCTTCCCACAATTTCAAGGTACTGGTATTTTATTCAAGATTTTGGAATGAAAATTCTTCCGGAATTGATGATTTTACAGTAGATTGGTTTGGGGTAAATGGTCTGTTTGTACCGCCGGTATTTCTTTTACCACGTGTTTTAAATTACATGAGACAATGCAACGCTGTAGGGAAATTAATTGTTCCTTGTTGGCCATCCGCAAGTTATTGGCTTATGTTATGCCCAAATGGGGGCGATTTTACAGATCAAGTTATTGCATATGTAGAATTTTTTATACTCCTGGTAAAAACAAGAAGGCCATTTTTAATAATACTGATCTTACATTTAAGATGTTAGCTTTGAGGCTAGATTTCAGAAATATAATACTAATATGTATGAAGGTTGTAAACCTATTTTGTTGATGAAGCTGTTTATGCTAATCTGAATTTTACAGATGATATTTTGAAGGCTATATTCATGATACTAGCGCCTTGTATGTGTACTAACTTTACGATGCATTTCTGAATTGGTTTCAATTCAGATTTTGGCATTTAGGCTATAATTGGCCTTGTTGAGAACTAATATTCTAACAACTACAAATGCTTATGTCCAGTATTTAAGACATTGTACATAGTCTTGTGAGATGTACTAACAAGTATTTGTCTGTTGGTAGTTTATATCTTTTGAGATGATGTTATTATTTAATTATTGTTTATACATGTGTTTTTGCAGGCCTATGAATCTGAAATTAATTTTTTGCCACCGATTCTGCACACCAATGTTGATGTTCTTATGGATTTACTTTGCGGATCTAAAGCTGACAGTACCGTTAAAACTTATCATGCAGGTTTTATCCGTTGGAAAAAGTGGGCCGTTCATAATGGTAGAAATGGTTGCGATATTTTACCAGCAAAACCCTTACACGTTGCATTATATTTATCTTCATTATTTCATAAAAGTCACACTGCTAGTCCGGTTATTTCAGCATTTCCGATCGATTATTTAAAAGACATGGTAGATGGCACTCAAAGACAGCCAAGAACGGTTATATTAAAGACTTTTTAAAAGATAGATTAACTGTTTCTGTAAATTTAGGTTTATAACCTAATATTGACTTTTTGTTTTCAAAGTGAACTAAATTCTATAAGCAAGATAAAAAATCTTATCGCCCGTTCTTTGAAGTTCGGCACATGGCACTGTCGTGTGGGTATTCAATTTGAAATTTAAGTTTGTTTTCCTTAGCGTTATGATGCTGTGGTTATGTGTATAGAGATGGGTAGTCTATGGGCGTTAGTAATAGACGTGTTACGAAAAGGTATATACTTGACGCTGATGTTGACAAATTAGACTTTAAATGTAGGGACTGTGTCAAAACATTGATTATCGATTACACACTCAGGTAAAATTCAATTTGCTTGATGTTAACAAGATATCCTGCACACTTCTTTCGTTCATTTGAAATCATATGAATTTAGAAAGATTATTTTCTGATATCATTGCTTATGCTGAATAGACGGGAAAGGTGTATGTGTGTACGGGGGAGGGGGTTGATGGTAATTCAAATATGCACTTCTAGATTTAAAAAAAAAATATCACATAATAAGCCAGTTTGATTTTTTTTATATTAATTACTGTTCTTCGAGCATAATCATCCATTTGACACTCTACTTCTTAACCTAGTTCTGAAAATGTATGAAATATTTGTCACTGAACGAACAAAAAACAACAATCAATCGATCTCTACTAAACCCACACAAAGCTCCACAGTCTGGTCTTGTTGATTTTGAGTTTAAAAGTTTTTAAGCGTTTAAAAGCGTGTTCAACAAATAACCGAAATCCTGAACGATAATCGCAAGTTCACTTTTTACATTATATTCTTTCTGCTCTTGGTCTACATGTTGCTCTACGTTTACAACGCCTATAGAGGGTAACGAGCTGAGAACGACATGCGGTATATTTCATTACATAAGGGGGAAATCTAATACCGTACCTGATCAATTGAAGGCAGTAAATTAAACTGTTGTTGAACATCATCATGTTGTCCTACGATACTACTGCGTGTGAATTTTACAAAAACAATGTAAAAGATTCCTATGTATCGTCCACAAAAAAACATGCGTATGTATGCAATGACGGTATCTGGAATACAACCGTGCCCGAGGTTCTGTGTGTGTTCTGTAAATGATTGTGATGTTGTTTTTTTTATTTTTGGAAGGGGGGGGGGGGGGGGGGGGGCTAGGATAAAAAGTTCTGTCCTGCATAATTTTTAGTTGTAATCTCTGTCCTGTTTTTTTTTATTTTTCACTCTATTCGGTCCTGCCTTTTTTTTATTAGTTTATCCTGACTTTTTTAACATAAATTGTCATCCTGCCTTTTTTTGGCGAAGTTGCTCATCCTGCCTTTTTTTACTCAAAACTCCTGTCCTGCCTTTTTTTCAAATTTCATCCTAGCACAATCAAATACAAATGGCTTCATCATATATCAGTATGAAGTTATAGCATTTGTCAAAATCCACAACGTTCAACTAACCTTTGAACTCGATTTAAGTTTTAAGATAAAAAGTTCTGTCCTGCATAATTTTTAGTTGTAATCTCTGTCCTGTTTTTTTTTTTATTTTTCACTCTATTCGGTCCTGCCTTTTTTTTATTAGTTTATCCTGACTTTTTTAACATAAATTGTCATCCTGCCTTTTGTTTTTACAAAGTGTCTCATCCTGCCTATTTTTTGTACTCAAAACTCCTGTCCTGCCTTTTTCTTTAAATTTCATCCTAGCCACCCCCTCTCTTTCCCCCCATAAAAAATCAAATGGTAGAATTTTTTTGTAACACGGCAATAAGATCAGACCTCGGGTAAACATCCCTTTAAAATTAAATGGTCAGTCGCTGATGATTTCGAAAACTCAAAAAATAAAAAAATACTAGTAGCAAGTAAATATTGATTTAATTTAATTTAGAAGGGTTGATGGTGGAGCGGGCGGTTGAAGGGGTCGTTTCTCTCATCTATTAATTCTTTTTCTCGGTTTTCTTTCTCTTTTTTCTTCTGAATTTTATATTCTTTCTGCAATACTCTTGCCTCCTTCAGTGTTCCAAATGAGATAAATGTTATGGATTCATCTTGTTTATCCCTCAAGGAATTATTGTTATGGACTTTTTGTTCCATATGTAATGAAATGTCCATCATAAAGAGATTAAAGGGAAGTCAGTTATAAAGAACAAATATACGTGGACATCAGTACTATGCAATCAGAGACGCAGTATAAACTCCAGATTCAATTGGTACACAGGTTATTTAAATCGTGATTTCACTTTTGTGTTTTGATACGATACCCACATTTAAAGTCTAATTTGTCAACCTCAGCGTCGAGTATATATCATTTCGTAACACGTCTTATTGTAGAATAAATGTAATTTCAATCGTTTGAAGGAACTGAATTAGATTGAAATTAATGTCTTCTAGCTGTCTGCCCATAAACCATTATTCGTTTTCCCGCGTTTCATGGGATATAATTATTCAGCACGACAGGGCCAACTCGAATAGACGTGTTTCACCGTTAACATTTTTATCTTGCTTGTGTGAATTTATTTTATGCTATATTTAATGTTTTGATTTCAGAAGTATTCTAAAATTACTGAGCAGACTATGTTTTGTCGACATGATATTATGTATCATAATGTGCAATTAAAATCAACACATGGTACTGTCGTGTGGTTATTCAATTTGAAACTTTAGTTTGGTTTTTATTAGCGTTATGATACTGTGGTTATGTGTTGAGAGTTGAGTAGTCTATGGGCGTTAGTAATTGTAGAAGAATTAACTTATATCATAACTTTAAACTTTTAAATTACGATATTTTATCCTTTCAAAAACGAGTGGCATATGAAGGGTTCGAACTTGCGCGTATTTTCTTCATAATCAGTAGAGTCTCCAGTCTATGCATGATACCACTATACAACGAGTGCTGACATTAATAACTATTTAAATAACACTCTTAAAGCGCATAACTGTCAATACATGTCAAAAACTGTTTTTTTGTCTCATAGATAATTCGCTTTTGTTATTTAATAAAATATATATATTATGTCTGGATTTGTTCATGTTCTTTTCAAATTTATTTAAATTGTTTTATTTTGTGCGTTATTTTTTTAAGGAAGATTATGTTCTTCATTTGAACGTTCTTGAGTATAGTTATATAGCAGTATGGAAATATAAAATGAATACTAGAGAAAAATAAATAAAACATTTTTCTTTAACATCATAAAAAAAAAGTTTACTCTTGATTTTAGGTTTGAACATTGGTCGATTGTCAACATCGTTATAACGAACTGATGATTCTTTATACGATTGTGGCTATTACACACTAGTTCTTAACACTATAGAATCAAGGAACTGTATATATTAGTACAATTCTTTGATAAAAATAAACATTCATATGCCCATTACACTTGTGACTTTTAACGTACAAGGACTTTTCTTTTCATCATATTAAATGCTTACTTATGGTTTTAGTCTTATAATGATATCATGCTCTCAATATTTTTTTCTTTGTATGATTATAAATAGTCCACATATACATCACGTCAACATTGAACGGACCTCTAATTTGAATAAAGTGTGACACATAAGATATGACCGTAAAACTACTTCTTTGACTGTAAAACCAGAAACAAAATCATCGCTTTTATATGAAAATGAAATATATAATACTTCTAAGATTAAAACAATATTTTGTCAAGAAAAAATTACAATGAAAAAAATTTCATTCCGGATACAAGGTTTAAACTTGACATTGTTAATACCACAGTTATGTCTTTCGGTACCACGACTAGACGATCACGGTTATGAAAAGCTTGAATGTAAAACTAAAAAATTGACATAATTATACATTGTACATCAGTAGCAAGAGCAATTCTGCTGGGGATTGAGAATGCGCACCACAAATAATACTAGTTTATTGACTGGTTGACAATGGATGCCAAATGTAATAACGCTTAAATAATCTAAACTCAATGAAAGGGAAACAGTTTAAACAAAATTCATGTATAATTGTTCAAATAAGACCTCATGCAAATAATTTTATTTGTTTCGGAAAGCAACATCGGCTCGAGCATCATTACCTGTTAGTATTGTGGCAACTACGCTTAATTTATGTACATGACTTTGTACGGCTAAATTGTAGCCAATCCTTAATCAGCTGTAAACAATCACAGATTGCTAAATACTATATATGTAAATTTTAAAAGTTTCTAAATTTTAGTTATTAAATTTTTTTAACTTTTCAAAAAAAGATACATAAATTCTGTATATTAATATTTGTCTTTTTGAATAAATACCAAAATCTATATATTTTTAATAATTTGTAATGATTAAACATTAAATGAAATATTTATATACAAATATGAAATCTAGTATTAAAAAGGGGAGCTAGCGACCCATTATAGTTATATTAAACCTATGTTAACTTAAATATAGATATGAACCGTGTGAATATAATCATTTGCAGCTATTACAGAATTAAAAAACACAAAATACGAAATTATTTTTATGAAATCCCATTGATTCATTGTCAGAACGTAAAACAGACAGTCGTTTTACTAGAAATGGGTTAAGCTAGAGAATTGATAAGAAGTAGTGGATTCGGAAACGATAATCAACTTGCGACTAAAAACGCTCGTTGGTTATCGTTTACGAATCCACTACTTCTTATTAATTCTCTACTACTGAATTTTCCTCGGAGTTCGGTATTTTTGTTATTTAACTTTTTGTTGTTGTTTTATAGTATTGATGTTTCGTTGTACCAGTTTACATCTACCTGTAGATATGTCGTTTTAATATGTTATTTTATTAATAATAATATTAAATGTTATCAATGAAAATATGTCTTGTTTCAGCAATGTTTACATCGCAATTCAACCCCATAAAATGTATCGAAGGTGAAATGTTCCAATTGAAATGCTCAGTGTATTCAGAAGATATAAATGTTGAATGGTCTAAAGATGATGCAAAGATCAAACAGAAAGAGAATATATCAATTGAAAACGACGGAATGCACCACTGTATGACAGTTCAACAAGCTAAATTGAGTGATGCTGGTCAATACCTTGTAGTCGCTGGGAACGTACGAAAACAAGTGACAGTAAATGTTCAAGGTAACATTTGAATGGAAACATTATTATTTTTATCTTAAGGTGTCATAGGTTAACAAGTTTAACGACAATGCATAATTCATCACAATTAAACACAATTTATATTCCCAATGTATTCTTCAAAAGTGTATAATTACGAAATCAAATCAATTTCAAAGTATTGTAAATTCTGAAATATTATTATTGAAATTGTACGATAGTTGAACAATGATCATTTAAACAATTTAAGATAAAGAGTGCTTCTTGCATGTCTAGTGACAAAAGAAAGTTGACACTGATTCCAAACAAATATCTGTTTATCTATTTATATAAAATGGAGTGTATGATAAACAATTGCCGATTAATACTGTATTTTCTTAATGCGCAGAAAATAATCCACTTTTGGTTAACTCAAAATAACTTCTGTGTACACTGATTTCGAAAAATAAATGGTTTCATTGTGCTTTGATTAAAAGAAGAAAAACAATTTGATACTTCTGGTTTAAAAAAGTAAGTCTTCCGGTTTAACATGATACGTACCTGAATACTTATCCCAAAAATGTATGGTTTCTATGAAGTTTTAATATTACTTTAAAAAGGCACTTGTTGAGGTTAACTAAATGTCATATCCAGTTGATACTTTTCGAGTTGTATGTTTCACAATCAAATACAAATGGCTTCATCATATATCAGTATGAAGTTATAGCATTTGTCAAAATCCACAACGTTCAACTAACCTTTGAACTCGATTTAAGTTTTAAGATAAAAAGTTCTGTCCTGCATAATTTTTAGTTGTAATCTCTGTCCTGTTTTTTTTTTTATTTTTCACTCTATTCGGTCCTGCCTTTTTTTTATTAGTTTATCCTGACTTTTTTAACATAAATTGTCATCCTGCCTTTTGTTTTTACAAAGTGTCTCATCCTGCCTATTTTTTGTACTCAAAACTCCTGTCCTGCCTTTTTCTTTAAATTTCATCCTAGCCACCCCCTCTCTTTCCCCCCATAAAAAATCAAATGGTAGAATTTTTTTGTAACACGGCAATAAGATTAGACCTCGGGTAAACATCCCTTTAAATTAAATGGTCAGTCGCTGATGATTTCGAAAACTCAAAAAATAAAAAATACTAGTAGAAAGTAAATATTGATTTAATTTAGAAGGGTTGATGATGGAGCGGGCGGTTGAAAGGGTCGTTTCTCTCATCTATTAATTCTTTTTCTCGGTTTTCTTTCTCTTTTTTCTTCTGAATTTTATATTCTTTCTGCAATACTCTTGCCTCCTTCAGTGTTCCAAATGAGATAAATGTTATGGATTCATCTTGTTTATCCCTCAAGGAATTATTGTTATGGACTTTTTGTTCCATATGTAATGAAATGTCCATCATAAAGAGATTAAAGGGAAGTCAGTTATAAAGAACAAATATACGTGGACATCAGTACTATGCAATCAGAGACGCAGTATAAACTCCAGATTCAATTGGTACACAGGTTATTTAAATCGTGATTTCACTTTTGTGTTTTGATACGATACCCACATTTAAAGTCTAATTTGTCAACCTCAGCGTCGAGTATATATCATTTCGTAACACGTCTTATTGTAGAATAAATGTAATTTCAATCGTTTGAAGGAACTGAATTAGATTGAAATTAATTTCTTCTAGCTGTCTGCCCATAAACCATTATTCGTTTTCCCGCGTTTCATGGGATATAATTATTCAGCACGACAGGGCCAACTCGAATAGACGTGTTTCACCGTTAACATTTTTATCTTGCTTGTGTGAATTTATTTTATGCTATATTTAATGTTTTGATTTCAGAAGTATTCTAAAATTACTGAGCAGACTATGTTTTGTCGACATGATATTATGTATCATAATGTGCAATTAAAATCAACACATGGTACTGTCGTGTGGTTATTCAATTTGAAACTTTAGTTTGGTTTTTATTAGCGTTATGATACTGTGGTTATGTGTTGAGAGTTGAGTAGTCTATGGGCGTTAGTAATTGTAGAAGAATTAACTTATATCATAACTTTAAACTTTTAACTTACGATATTTTATCCTTTCAAAAACGAGTGGCATATGAAGGGTTCGAACTTGCGCGTATTTTCTTCATAATCAGTAGAGTCTCCAGTCTATGCATGATACCACTATACAACGAGTGCTGACATTAATAACTATTTAAATAACACTCTTAAAGCGCATAACTGTCAATACATGTCGAAAACTGTTTTTTTGTCTCATAGATAATTCGCTTTTGTTATTTAATAAAATATATATATTATGTCTGGATTTGTTCATGTTCTTTTCAAATTTATTTAAATTGTTTTATTTTGTGCGTTATTTTTTTAAGGAAGATTATGTTCTTCATTTGAACGTTCTTGAGTATAGTTATATAGCAGTATGGAAATATAAAATGAATACTAGAGAAAAATAAATAAAACATTTTTCTTTAACATCATAAAAAAAAAGTTTACTCCTGATTTTAGGTTTGAACATTGGTCGATTGTCAACATCGTTATAACGAACTGATGATTCTTTATACGATTGTGGCTATTACACACTAGTTCTTAACACTATAGAATCAAGGAACTGTATATATTAGTACAATTCTTTGATAAAAATAAACATTCATATGCCCATTACACTTGTGACTTTTAACGTACAAGGACTTTTCTTTTCATCATATTAAATGCTTACTTATGGTTTTAGTCTTATAATGATATCATGCTCTCAATATTTTTTTCTTTGTATGATTATAAATAGTCCACATATACATCACGTCAACATTGAACGGACTCTAATTTGAATAAAGTGTGACACATAAGATATGACCGTAAAACTACTTCTTTGACTGTAAAACCAGAAACAAAATCATCGCTTTTATATGAAAATGAAATATATAATACCTCTAAGATTAAAACAATATTTTGTCAAGAAAAAATTACAATGAAAAAAATTTCATTCCGGATACAAGGTTTAAACTTGACATTGTTAATACCACAGTTATGTCGTTCGGTACCACGACTAGACGATCACGGTTATGAAAAGCTTGAATGTAAAACTAAAAAATTGACATAATTATACATTGTACATCAGTAGCAAGAGCAATTCTGCTGGGGATTGAGAATGCGCACCACAAATAATACTAGTTTATTGACTGGTTGACAATGGATGCCAAATGTAATAACGCTTAAATAATCTAAACTTAATGAAAGGGAAACAGTTTAAACAAAATTCATGTATAATTGTTCAAATAAGACCTCATGCAAATAATTTTATTTGTTTCGGAAAGCAACATCGGCTCGAGCATCATTACCTGTTAGTATTGTGGCAACTACGCTTAATTTATCTACATGATTTTGTACGGCTAAATTGTAGCCAATCCTTAATCAGCTGTAAACAATCACAGATTGCTAAATACTATATATGTAAATTTTAAAAGTTTCTAAATTTTGGTTATTAAATTTTTTTAACTTTTCAAAAAAAGATACAAAAATTCTGTATATTAATAATTGTCTTTTTGAATAAATACCAAAATCTATATATTTTTAATAATTTGTAATGATTAAACATTAAATGAAATATTTATATACAAATATGAAATCTAGTATTAAAAAGGGGAGCTAACGACCCATTATAGTTATATTAAACTTATGTTAACTTAAATATAGATATGAACCGTGTGAATATAATCATTTGCAGCTATTACAGAATTAAAAAACACAAAATACGAAATTATTTTTATGAAATCCCATTGATTCATTGTCAGAACGTAAAACAGACAGTCGTTTTACTAGAAATGGGTTAAGCTAGAGAATTGATAAGAAGAAGTGGATTCGGAAACGATAATCAACTTGCGACTAAAAACGCTCGTTGGTTATCGTTTACGAATCCACTACTTCTTATTAATTTTCTACTACTGAATTTTCCTCGGAGTTCGGTATTTTTGTTATTTAACTTTTTGTTGTTGTTTTATAGTATTGATGTTTCGTTGTACCAGTTTACATCTACCTGTAGATATGTCGTTTTAATATGTTATTTTATTAATAATAATATTAAATGTTATCAATGAAAATATGTCCTGTTTCAGCAATGTTTACATCGCAATTCAACCCCATAAAATGTATCGAAGGTGAAATGTTCCAATTGAAATGCTCAGTGTATTCAGAAGATATAAATGTTGAATGGTCTAAAGATGATGCAAAGATCAAACAGAAAGAGAATATATCAATTGAAAACGACGGAATGCACCACTGTATGACAGTTCAACAAGCTAAATTGAGTGATGCTGGTCAATACCTTGTAGTCGCTGGGAACGTACGAAAACAAGTGACAGTAAATGTTCAAGGTAACATTTGAATGGAAACATTATTATTGTTATCTTAAGGTGTCATAGGTTAACAAGTTTAACGACAATGCATAATTCATCACAAATAAACACAATTTATATTCCCAATGTATTCTTCAAAAGTGTATAATTACGAAATCAAATCAATTTCAAAGTATTGTAAATTCTGAAATATTATTATTGAAATTGTACGATAGTTGAACAATGATCATTTAAACAATTTAAGATAAAGAGTGCTTCTTGCATGTCTAGTGACAAAAGAAAGTTGACACTGATTCCAAACAAATATCTGTTTATCTATTTATATAAAATGGAGTGTATGATAAACAATTGCCGATTAATACTGTATTTTCTTAATGCGCAGAAAATAATCCACTTTTGGTTAACTCAAAATAACTTCTGTGTACACTGATTTCGAAAAATAAATGGTTTCATTGTGCTTTGATTAAAAGAAGAAAAACAATTTGATACTTCTGGTTTAAAAAAGTAAGTCTTCCGGTTTAACATGATACGTACCTGAATACTTATCCCAAAAATGTATGGTTTCTATGAAGTTTTAATATTACTTTAAAAAGGCACTTGTTGAGGTTAACTAAATGTCATATCCAGTTGATACTTTTCGAGTTGTATGTTTCACAATCAAATACAAATGGCTTCATCATATATCAGTATGAAGTTATAGCATTTGTCAAAATCCACAACGTTCAACTAACCTTTGAACTCGATTTAAGTTTTAAGATAAAAAGTTCTGTCCTGCATAATTTTTAGTTGTAATCTCTGTCCTGTTTTTTTTTAATTTTTCACTCTATTCGGTCCTGCCTTTTTTTATTAGTTTATCCTGACTTTTTTAACATAAATTGTCATCCTGCCTTTTGTTTTTACAAATTGTCTCATCCTGCCTATTTTTTGTACTCAAAACTCCTCTCCTGCCTTTTTCTTTAAATTTCATCCTAGCCACCCCCTCTTTTTCCCCCATAAAAAATCAAATGGTAGAATTTTTTTGTAACACGGCAATAAGATCAGACCTCGGGTAAACATCCCTTTAAATTAAATGGTCAGTCGCTGATGATTTCGAAAACTCAAAAAATAAAAAATACTAGTAGAAAGTAAATATTGATTTAATTTAGAAGGGTTGATGGTGGAGCGGGCGGTTGAAGGGGTCGTTTCTCTCATCTATTAATTCTTTTTCTCGGTTTTCTTTCTCTTTTTTCTTCTGAATTTTATATTCTTTCTGCAATACTCTTGCCTCCTTCAGTGTTCCAAATGAGATAAATGTTATGGATTCATCTTGTTTATCCCTCAAGGAATTATTGTTATGGACTTTTTGTTCCATATGTAATGAAATGTCCATCATAAAGAGATTAAAGGGAAGTCAGTTATAAAGAACAAATATACGTGGACATCAGTACTATGCAATCAGAGACGCAGTATAAACTCCAGATTCAATTGGTACACAGGTTATTTAAATCGTGATTTCACTTTTGTGTTTTGATACGATACCCACATTTAAAGTCTAATTTGTCAACCTCAGCGTCGAGTATATATCATTTCGTAACACGTCTTATTGTAGAATAAATGTAATTTCAATCGTTTGAAGGAACTGAATTAGATTGAAATTAATTTCTTCTAGCTGTCTGCCCATAAACCATTATTCGTTTTCCCGCGTTTCATGGGATATAATTGTTCAGCACGACAGGGCCAACTCGAATAGACGTGTTTCACCGTTAACATTTTTATCTTGCTTGTGTGAATTTATTTTATGCTATATTTAATGTTTTGATTTCAGAAGTATTCTAAAATTACTGAGCAGACTATGTTTTGTCGACATGATATTATGTATCATAATGTGCAATTAAAATCAACACATGGTACTGTCGTGTGGTTATTCAATTTGAAACTTTAGTTTGGTTTTTATTAGCGTTATGATACTGTGGTTATGTGTTGAGAGTTGAGTAGTCTATGGGCGTTAGTAATTGTAGAAGAATTAACTTATATCATAACTTTAAACTTTTAACTTACGATATTTTATCCTTTCAAAAACGAGTGGCATATGAAGGGTTCGAACTTGCGCGTATTTTCTTCATAATCAGTAGAGTCTCCAGTCTAAACATGATACCACTATACAACGAGTGCTGACATTAATAACTATTTAAATAACACTCTTAAAGCGCATAACTGTCAATACATGTCAAAAACTGTTTTTTTGTCTCATAGATAATTCGCTTTTGTTATTTAATAAAATATATATATTATGTCTGGATTTGTTCATGTTCTTTTCAAATTTATTTAAATTGTTTTATTTTGTGCGTTATTTTTTTAAGGAAGATTATGTTCTTCATTTGAACGTTCTTGAGTATAGTTATATAGCAGTATGGAAATATAAAATGAATACTAGAGAAAAATAAATAAAACATTTTTCTTTAACATCATAAAAAAAAAGTTTACTCCTGATTTTAGGTTTGAACATTGGTCGATTGTCAACATCGTTATAACGAACTGATGATTCTTTATACGATTGTGGCTATTACACACTAGTTCTTAACACTATAGAATCAAGGAACTGTATATATTAGTACAATTCTTTGATAAAAATAAACATTCATATGCCCATTACACTTGTGACTTTTAACGTACAAGGACTTTTCTTTTCATCATATTAAATGCTTACTTATGGTTTTAGTCTTATAATGATATCATGCTCTCAATATTTTTTTCTTTGTATGATTATAAATAGTCCACATATACATCACGTCAACATTGAACGGACTCTAATTTGAATAAAGTGTGACACATAAGATATGACCGTAAAACTACTTCTTTGACTGTAAAACCAGAAACAAAATCATCGCTTTTATATGAAAATGAAATATATAATACCTCTAAGATTAAAACAATATTTTGTCAAGAAAAAATTACAATGAAAAAAATTTCATTCCGGATACAAGGTTTAAACTTGACATTGTTAATACCACAGTTATGTCTTTCGGTACCACGACTAGACGATCACGGTTATGAAAAGCTTGAATGTAAAACTAAAAAATTGACATAATTATACATTGTACATCAGTAGCAAGAGCAATTCTGCTGGGGATTGAGAATGCGCACCACAAATAATACTAGTTTATTGACTGGTTGACAATGGATGCCAAATGTAATAACGCTTAAATAATCTAAACTTAATGAAAGGGAAACAGTTTAAACAAAATTCATGTATAATTGTTCAAATAAGACCTCATGCAAATAATGTTATTTGTTTCGGAAAGCAACATCGGCTCGAGCATCATTACCTGTTAGTATTGTGGCAACTACGCTTAATTTATCTACATGACTTTGTACGGCTAAATTGTAGCCAATCCTTAATCAGCTGTAAACAATCACAGATTGCTAAATACTATATATGTAAATTTTAAAAGTTTCTAAATTTTGGTTATTAAATTTTTTTAACTTTTCAAAAAAAGATACATAAATTCTGTATATTAATATTTGTCTTTTTGAATAAATACCAAAATCTATATATTTTTAATAATTTGTAATGATTAAACATTAAATGAAATATTTATATACAAATATGAAATCTAGTATTAAAAAGGGGAGCTAACGACCCATTATAGTTATATTAAACTTATGTTAACTTAAATATAGATATGAACCGTGTGAATATAATCATTTGCAGCTATTACAGAATTAAAAAACACAAAATACGAAATTATTTTTATGAAATCCCATTGATTCATTGTCAGAACGTAAAACAGACAGTCGTTTCACTAGAAATGGGTTAAGCTAGAGAATTGATAAGAAGTAGTGGATTCGGAAACGATAATCAACTTGCGACTAAAAACGCTCGTTGGTTATCGTTTACGAATCCACTACTTCTTATTAATTCTCTACTACTGAATTTTCCTCGGAGTTCGGTATTTTTGTTATTTAACTTTTTGTTGTTGTTTTATAGTATTGATGTTTCGTTGTACCAGTTTACATCTACCTGTAGATATGTCGTTTTAATATGTTATTTTATTAATAATAATATTAAATGTTATCAATGAAAATATGTCCTGTTTCAGCAATGTTTATATCGCAATTCAACCCCATAAAATGTATCGAAGGTGAAATGTTCCAATTGAAATGCTCAGTGTATTCAGAAGATATAAATGTTGAATGGTCTAAAGATGATGCAAAGATCAAACAGAAAGAGAATATATCAATTGAAAACGACGGAATGCACCACTGTATGACAGTTCAACAAGCTAAAATGAGTGATGCTGGTCAATACCTTGTAGTCGCTGGGAACGTACGAAAACAAGTGACAGTAAATGTTCAAGGTAACATTTGAATGGAAACATTATTATTTTTATCTTAAGGGGTCATAGGTTAACAAGTTTAACGACAATGCATAATTCATCACAATTAAACACAATTTATATTCCCAGTGTATTCTTCAAAAGTGTATAATTACGAAATCAAATCAATTTCAAAGTATTGTAAATTCTGAAATATAATTATTGAAATTGTACGATAGTTGAACAATGATCATTTAAACAATTTAAGATAAAGAGTGCTTCTTGCATGTCTAGTGACAAAAGAAAGTTGACACTGATTCCAAACAAATATCTGTTTATCTATTTATATAAAATGGAGTGTATGATAAACAATTGCCGATTAATACTGTATTTTCTTAATGCGCAGATAATAATCCACTTTTGGTTAACTCAAAATAACTTCTGTGTACACTGATTTCGAAAAATAAATGGTTTCATTGTGCTTTGATTAAAAGAAGAAAAACAATTTGATACTTCTGGTTTAAAAAAGTAAGTCTTCCGGTTTAACATGATACGTACCTGAATACTTATCCCAAAAATGTATGGTTTCTATGAAGTTTTAATATTACTTTAAAAAGGCACTTGTTGAGGTTAACTAAATGTCATATCCAGTTGATACTTTTCGAGTTGTATGTTTCACAATCAAATACAAATGGCTTCATCATATATCAGTATGAAGTTATAGCATTTGTCAAAATCCACAACGTTCAACTAACCTTTGAACTCGATTTAAGTTTTAAGATAAAAAGTTCTGTCCTGCATAATTTTTAGTTGTAATCTCTGTCCTGTTTTTTTTTATTTTTCACTCTATTCGGTCCTGCCTTTTTTTATTAGTTTATCCTGACATTTTTAACATAAATTGTCATCCTGCCTTTTGTTTTTACAAAGTGTCTCATCCTGCCTATTTTTTGTACTCAAAACTCCTGTCCTGCCTTTTTCTTTAAATTTCATCCTAGCCACCCCCTCTCTTTCCCCCCATAAAAAATCAAATGGTAGAATTTTTTTGTAACACGGCAATAAGATCAGACCTCGGGTAAACATCCCTTTAAATTAAATGGTCAGTCGCTGATGATTTCGAAAACTCAAAAAATAAAAAATACTAGTAGCAAGTAAATATTGATTTAATTTAGAAGGGTTGATGGTGGAGCGGGCGGTTGAAGGGGTCGTTTCTCTCATCTATTAATTCTTTTTCTCGGTTTTCTTTCTCTTTTTTCTTCTGAATTTTATATTCTTTCTGCAATACTCTTGCCTCCTTCAGTGTTCCAAATGAGATAAATGTTATGGATTCATCTTGTTTATCCCTCAAGGAATTATTGTTATGGACTTTTTGTTCCATATGTAATGAAATGTCCATCATAAAGAGATTAAAGGGAAGTCAGTTATAAAGAACAAATATACGTGGACATCAGTACTATGCAATCAGAGACGCAGTATAAACTCCAGATTCAATTGGTACACAGGTTATTTAAATCGTGATTTCACTTTTGTGTTTTGATACGATACCCACATTTAAAGTCTAATTTGTCAACCTCAGCGTCGAGTATATATCATTTCGTAACACGTCTTATTGTAGAATAAATGTAATTTCAATCGTTTGAAGGAACTGAATTAGATTGAAATTAATTTCTTCTAGCTGTCTGCCCATAAACCATTATTCGTTTTCCCGCGTTTCATGGGATATAATTGTTCAGCACGACAGGGCCAACTCGAATAGACGTGTTTCACCGTTAACATTTTTATCTTGCTTGTGTGAATTTATTTTATGCTATATTTAATGTTTTGATTTCAGAAGTATTCTAAAATTACTGAGCAGACTATGTTTTGTCGACATGATATTATGTATCATAATGTGCAATTAAAATCAACACATGGTACTGTCGTGTGGTTATTCAATTTGAAACTTTAGTTTGGTTTTTATTAGCGTTATGATACTGTGGTTATGTGTTGAGAGTTGAGTAGTCTATGGGCGTTAGTAATTGTAGAAGAATTAACTTATATCATAACTTTAAACTTTTAACTTACGATATTTTATCCTTTCAAAAACGAGTGGCATATGAAGGGTTCGAACTTGCGCGTATTTTCTTCATAATCAGTAGAGTCTCCAGTCTATGCATGATACCACTATACAACGAGTGCTGACATTAATAACTATTTAAATAACACTCTTAAAGCGCATAACTGTCAATACATGTCAAAAACTGTTTTTTTTGTCTCATAGATAATTCGCTTTTGTTATTTAATAAAATATATATATTATGTCTGGATTTGTTCATGTTCTTTTCAAATTTATTTAAATTGTTTTATTTTGTGCGTTATTTTTTTAAGGAAGATTATGTTTTTCATTTGAACGTTCTTGAGTATAGTTATATAGCAGTATGGAAATATAAAATGAATACTAGAGAAAAATAAATAAAACATTTTTCTTTAACATCATAAAAAAAAAGTTTACTCCTGATTTTAGGTTTGAACATTGGTCGATTGTCAACATCGTTATAACGAACTGATGATTCTTTATACGATTGTGGCTATTACACACTAGTTCTTAACACTATAGAATCAAGGAACTGTATATATTAGTACAATTCTTTGATAAAAATAAACATTCATATGCCCATTACACTTGTGACTTTTAACGTACAAGGACTTTTCTTTTCATCATATTAAATGCTTACTTATGGTTTTAGTCTTATAATGATATCATGCTCTCAATATTTTTTTCTTTGTATGATTATAAACAGTCCACATATACATCACGTCAACATTGAACGGACTCTAATTTGAATAAAGTGTGACACATAAGATATGACCGTAAAACTACTTCTTTGACTGTAAAACCAGAAACAAAATCATCGCTTTTATATGAAAATGAAATATATAATACCTCTAAGATTAAAACAATATTTTGTCAAGAAAAAATTACAATGAAAAAAATTTCATTCCGGATACAAGGTTTAAACTTGACATTGTTAATACCACAGTTATGTCTTTCGGTACCACGACTAGACGATCACGGTTATGAAAAGCTTGAATGTAAAACTAAAAAATTGACATAATTATACATTGTACATCAGTAGCAAGAGCAATTCTGCTGGGGATTGAGAATGCGCACCACAAATAATACTAGTTTATTGACTGGTTGACAATGGATGCCAAATGTAATAACGCTTAAATAATCTAAACTTAATGAAAGGGAAACAGTTTAAACAAAATTCATGTATAATTGTTCAAATAAGACCTCATGCAAATAATTTTATTTGTTTCGGAAAGCAACATCGGCTCGAGCATCATTACCTGTTATTATTGTGGCAACTACGCTTAATTTATCTACATGACTTTGTACGGCTAAATTGTAGCCAATCCTTAATCAGCTGTAAACAATCACAGATTGCTAAATACTATATATGTAAATTTTAAAAGTTTCTAAATTTTGGTTATTAAATTTTTTTAACTTTTCAAAAAAAGATACATAAATTCTCTATATTAATATTTGTCTTTTTGAATAAATACCAAAATCTATATATTTTTAATAATTTGTAATGATTAAACATTAAATGAAATATTTATATACAAATATGAAATCTAGTATTAAAAAGGGGAGCTAACGACCCATTATAGTTATATTAAACTTATGTTAACTTAAATATAGATATGAACCGTGTGAATATAATCATTTGCAGCTATTACAGAATTAAAAAACACAAAATACGAAATTATTTTTATGAAATCCCATTGATTCATTGTCAGAACGTAAAACAGACAGTCGTTTTACTAGAAATGGGTTAAGCTAGAGAATTGATAAGAAGTAGTGGATTCGGAAACGATAATCAACTTGCGACTAAAAACGCTCGTTGGTTATCGTTTACGAATCCACTACTTCTTATTAATTCTCTACTACTGAATTTTCCTCGGAGTTCGGTATTTTTGTTATTTAACTTTTTGTTGTTGTTTTATAGTATTGATGTTTCGTTGTACCAGTTTACATCTACCTGTAGATATGTCGTTTTAATATGTTATTTTATTAATAATAATATTAAATGTTATCAATGAAAATATGTCCTGTTTCAGCAATGTTTACATCGCAATTCAACCCCATAAAATGTATCGAAGGTGAAATGTTCCAATTGAAATGCTCAGTGTATTCAGAAGATATAAATGTTGAATGGTCTAAAGATGATGCAAAGATCAAACAGAAAGAGAATATATCAATTGAAAACGACGGAATGCACCACTGTATGACAGTTCAACAAGCTAAATTGAGTGATGCTGGTCAATACCTTGTAGTCGCTGGGAACGTACGAAAACAAGTGACAGTAAATGTTCAAGGTAACATTTGAATGGAAACATTATTATTTTTATCTTAAGGTGTCATAGGTTAACAAGTTTAACGACAATGCATAATTCATCACAATTAAACACAATTTATATTCCCAATGTATTCTTCAAAAGTGTATAATTACGAAATCAAATCAATTTCAAAGTATTTTAAATTCTGAAATATTATTATTGAAATTGTACGATAGTTGAACAATGATCATTTAAACAATTTAAGATAAAGAGTGCTTCTTGCATGTCTAGTGACAAAAGAAAGTTGACACTGATTCCAAACAAATATCTGTTTATCTATTTATATAAAATGGAGTGTATGATAAACAATTGCCGATTAATACTGTATTTTCTTAATGCGCAGAAAATAATCCACTTTTGGTTAACTCAAAATAACTTCTGTGTACACTGATTTCGAAAAATAAATGGTTTCATTGTGCTTTGATTAAAAGAAGAAAAACAATTTGATACTTCTGGTTTAAAAAAAGTAAGTCTTCCGGTTTAACATGATACGTACCTGAATACTTATCCCAAAAATGTATGGTTTCTATGAAGTTTTAATATTACTTTAAAAAGGCACTTGTTGAGGTTAACTAAATGTCATATCCAGTTGATACTTTTCGAGTTGTATGTTTCACAATCAAATACAAATGGCTTCATCATATATCAGTATGAAGTTATAGCATTTGTCAAAATCCACAACGTTCAACTAACCTTTGAACTCGATTTAAGTTTTAAGATTTATAGGTCTTTTTGGTCGTATAGCTCTTCAACTGTTTCGGTTCTTTTACATCCTTGGCTTTCAAATATTTGGCTTTGAGCGTTCCTAATGAAGTTATATCCAGAAAAGCTCTTCGGACGCATGAAATTTACAACGTGTTTATTGTTGTATGAGCAAGAAATTCGAATCATGAGACGTGACCGTTCTTGTTTATAAAGGTTATGAGGTATATGATCATCAAAATAATTTTAAACATTCCAGAAGCCTGAACAGTTTGGGCAAGTATGGACGCTTCGATCAAACTTGATACAGCTCTAAATTTGAACTGTGATTAAATAGTTGACACATCGGAGATTTCTGACACAGAATAAATGTGGCCAAAGAACTGAAAATTTGAAAATTTTGACTTTTACCTTTTATGGTCCAATATCCAAAATCTAAATACACGGTTAGATTCAGCATATCATAGAACCCAAAGAATTTTAATTTTTGATGAAATATAACAAGTTTAATTTTGACCCTTAGCAATTTTTTGTTATTCCCTCGCCGGGATTCAAACTCATGCTATTGGGATATCGTGACAACACCGCCTGCACTGTGTCCATCGCTCTAGACCACTCGGCTACCTATATATATATATATATATATATATATATGTTTTGCATGCACACGTATAAAAATTGCGGTTTTAACCAACGCAATCATAGGTTTGAACGTTGTTTTCAATTTCAACGTCTGGATATTAGTCAACGATCTGTCTTACGAGGGTCCTGGATCGTAACGAGTAACGATACATGTACACAATAAATGAATTATATAAACGCCTAAAAAGTGTACAAAACAACACCAATAATATAAAAAAAAGGAAAAATTAAATGTAATTATCTATAAATATTTCGGATAACAGATATCCTTCATCAGTACAAACCAACACCAATATATCATTCTGACAATTAATGTATATAGAATAAAAAACAAATCTACCACGGAGTTATCAAAAAGTTAACAAAATAAAAATGAGAAAAAAAAAACATTTCCAAAATAACATTTCTTATTAATACAGTCTACAAATTTTTCAAAAGACATCACATCAAAATGATGATTGATTGAAAATCAGTTTTTCAGCCGATTTACAGCTGCACTTAATCATTTTATAATTGAGAGAAGATATTGTTGTCCTAAAACAAAACATAAATGTTTGTTTTTGGCCCATAGTTCCTAAACAGCTAGGACAATAAACTCAAAAATCAATCCCAACCCTCCCAACCTTCCTTTTGTAGTACGAAACCTTGTGCAACAAGTTAATAGTTATCCATACATTCATGCTTAAGTTGTTGTCTGGAAACCAAAATGTCTTCGGACGACGACGCAGACATCGCCATAACTGAATATGAACGCAAGAAAATTGCGTTTTTGTGGAGATACCTCTAATGAAAAAGTGTTCGGTTAAACCGTGTCGACTTTAATGTGTATAAAATGTACTTATTGATATCTTGTATATGAAAAACGCCCGGCAACAAATATAAGTGGCAGAAAAAACTTACATTTTTTAGAGATTAATTGAAGATCTTTCCTCCCAAATAACCTTTGATACAATTTGGATTACAGATATGAGCTAACGTGTAAGAAGATAGCTTATCAGAATAAATAACAAAATACAAATTCAAGGAACTTTTTTCTGTAATAAGGGCTATAATAAGTATTTACTTTTAAGTGGACCAAGGACCCCAAAGGAGGATAATGTACTAGTATCTCTTTCAGTTACAGTTAACAAGTTACAATTACATTTTACTCATTTCGAAATAAATCTTGATATATTGGGTCCCTGGTTTGCTTCAGTCTGAATTATTTTCGACATCCTGAGTATAAAACAGTCAATTTTGGAAAGAAATACTGAAGTTTATTTGATGGTTGAAAAGGTGTAGTAATTTTAAAAAAACTAGAAAAACAATGATCGGTAAAATAACTCTTACATAGAAAGTGTTGGACATAGGTTTCAAAGTATATGAATTACTTTTTGTTATAAACAAAATATGTCAAAGATATATATCTTGTCAAAAAAAATTATTTCACAAGAAATAAAAGAAGCTGAAGACAAATCAAACAAGTAAAAACCATTTGTTCACATTTGAAGGTATTTCCATCTTATAAATAAATATGTTGATATAAAATGACAAAAACATTAATTTACAGTTTACTTACAGTTAACAAGCACTAAAAACTCCTCAGAGTCTGAAAAGACCATATTTTACTCGACATAATCTCGACAGTGCTTAACTGTACTTAACAGTACTCGACGTTGGTCTCGACTTTACTTAATAAATCTGATTGAGTACTTGATAATTTTGGTTTAGTCTGAATATGGTCTCAACAAGTCTCGACTCAGTCTTGACTCAGTCTTGATCTTTGAATTTAGTCTAGACTGGTCTGAATCAGCCCATCTAAATCTAAATGTAAAGTTTTATGAAAATCCAAGTTAATTTGAAAAAGTCATAGAAATAATTAAAGGTGACTATCTTGATTTAATCAGAACTGAAAATTCTAGCTTTTTATTTCCTAATATTAATTAAATCTTTTAATTTGAACGCAATGAACCAAACTACCAAATAACCTGGAATTTCGTAAGATCAATATATAATTGAGTTTAATGGGCTGATTCAGACCAGTAGAGACTGGTCGAGACTGGTCAAGTCCATATTCAGACTTTATGACACGGGTTATGTTCTTCTCATATATTTTATGCCGGTATAATACTAAACCCCTAACAGGAGGGAGTGTGCCTGATATTCATATGATGAAGACATAATCTTTTAATCAGTTTAATTGATTACTGGAGCTGGCATGTCAGTAACTGCTATTAGTCTGTTGTTATTTATGTATTATTGTCATTTTGTTTATTTTCTTTTGTTTCCTATTCTGCTTCGGACTCGGACTTCTCTTAAACTGAGTTTTACTGTGCGTACTGTTGTGCGTTTGTTTTTTCTACATTGGCTAGAGGTATAGGGAGAGGGTTGAGATCTCATAAAAACATGTTTAACGCCGCCGCATTTTTGCGCCTATCCCAAGTCAGGAGCCTCTGGCCTTTGTTAGTCTTGTATCATTTTTAATTTTAGTTTCCTGTGTATAATGTGGAGTTTAGTATGACGTCCATTATCACTGAACTAGTATACATATTTGTTTAGGGGCCAGCCGAAGGACGCCTTCGGGTGCGGTAGTTTCTCGCTGCATTGAAGACCCATTGGTGGCTTTCGGCTGTTGTCTGCTCTATGGTCGGGTTGTTGTCTCTTTGACACATTCCCCATTTCCATTCTCAATTTTATTTACCAAAATGATCAAGTACTCAATCAGAATTATTAAGTAAAGTCGAGACCAAAGTCGAGTACAGTTAAATACAGTTAAGTACTGTCGAGATTATGTCGAGTCTTGTCAAGTAAAATATGTGCTTGCCCTTACTTGTCGAGCACAAAATATGATCTTTTCAGACTCTAAGCAGTTTGTAGTGAAGGTCACTTCTGTTGTTAAAAGATACTAAGCTTACACTGATTCAAAATAATACATAGGTTTAAGTTATTATTGCAATATATAGACAATATCTTATGAACTTAAATTTCAATACAAAACAGGTCATCAACATGAAGATACAATGTCATACAAAGACTTGAAGAGTTCTGAAGAAATATGTTTGCCTGCGATGAAGAATGCAGATGAGGTTAGTTTCAGAAAAGTATGTCCCAGGCACGTGGCGCATTAGTGGTATAGGGTAATGGTTCTTCATCTCGTCCTTCCGTCTGTCTGCTTTAACCATTTCAATGTTCAGAGACCGTTGGACAAAAAGCTTTCATACTTGGTGGGATTATATTTCATCGTGCGTATTTGACCATATATGACCATCATTTTGACCTGAACATTTTTGAGTCATGCGACTTAACAATTTTTTGGGATTATATTGAACGCAACTCATTGCAGCTTCGCTGATACCATTTGATAGAAAGCTTTAATGATTGGTTGTATTGCCATCGTTTGTAGTTGACCACAATAAATAATAAATTTTGATTTGAACATTATTTAAAAAGAGTTATCTGACTATTCAATGTTTTACTATCAAACCGCAGTAACACATTTTGAAATTCAATTTAATTTGTCATGCAGATCAAACTTGCTTTGCCTGGTATCTTTCTTGAGATGTTTTGTTACAGACAGCTTGGATGATATTTTGCGTAGCTGCTTTTTTAATTTTATCCTTTGTATGAAGTATTAAATTGTTATTGAATGACTGTTACCTTTTATATAACTGTTTTATTAAACATACTGATGGTGGAAATACCTTATTCCTCGGGGTCAAATACTTTACAAGATTGATTAACGAGAATTAAACATTAGTCACTTTTGTCATGTTTGTTGTCTGTAGTTTGAAATCTTACTATTGTTACGTCAAAGACAATTGTTAAAAAATAAACAATACAGAATAAGAGACAACCCCTGATACGGTGCTTTCGGTCCGGAATTTGCTTTTTGTCCGCTTTTGATTTATGTCCGATAATTTTGCTTTTCGTCCGACACTTTTACTGTTTGTCCGTTGCTTCCGGTCCGTTTTGTTTTTTGTCCGATTATTTTGCTTTTAGACCGACACTCTTGCTTTTTGTCCGCGACTTTCGGTCCGTTTAGCTTTTTGTCCGACACTTTTGCTTTTTGTCCGTTGCTTTTTTTCCGAAAATTTTGCTTTTTTGTCCGTTGCTTTTTGTCTAATTTGCTGTTTGTCCGCTGATTCTGCTTAATGTCCATTTTAAAATGCGCATTTTTTTTTGTAGGTTCCATTTGAACTTCAAACTAAATGACAAAATTTTATAAAACTTTCTTATATTCACACCTACTCATAGTTTTTTTAAGTTAAATTTATTCAGAGAGGTCCACTTCATCTTAAGTAAAAGTATAAAAAAACGTTTAATTTAAAATGATAATAGCCCAAAAATTGGTAAAAATTGATGAAAAATTGGAAAATCATCAAAATTGGGTACTTTCAAATGTCTGTAGCAAAAAAAAAGAAGTGCACCACCATATGATTTTTTCTTCACCAATTACTTTTTTACAGTCATATAAACTCAAAAATCAGGTTAAGAAAAAAGTTTAATTCTAGAAATTTTTGGCTCCTCAGAGGTGTACATCCTTAAGTCCTTTTAAACCAATTTTTCCTGAAATGTTGAAGTACAGAGGAAGATTAACAACAGTTTCCATCTAAGACCAATGAACCAGTCAACGGTTTTTTTTTAATCTACAAACGTTGTTACAGACGACAAATTGGAGGTTCAGTTTGTTATGTTTGTTTTTCGTTTTACCCTTCAGTCTTTCAAAGATGAAATATTGTACTTGTTTCAACCAATGCATTACAAATTGTTATTTGATTTTAACAATGACAAATTGGAGGCCAATATCTAAATTGAGGATTAGCTATTGCCGTCCATGAATTATGGTACTTGAATGATTTGAAAATTGCACTTTATTCGGTTTTCGTGCAATAACTCTTGAACCGTTCGGCCGATACTTTTCAAAACATTTTATTTTTTAAATGTTGTAACTGATAAAGTAATTGATTTCAATTTCGGTATTGACTATTTTCCCTTCTGCTGTTCAAGAGTTATATTCGTGAATAGAGAGGGAATGGCACTTTCTTTTCCTATAGACACATTTAGAATAGATGAAGTCAAATAAATAAAAAATATCAATACATTAGAATAGATCAATTCCATTTGTACTAGTTGTCCTCTTAAGTTCAACGATGGTTATCTTCAAAATACAGAAAAAATCTATTTGTTGTGAATTTGACAGTTTATTCCTTGTATTGAATTGGAATGAATTATCAGCGCAAAGTTTTGCTTACAGTTTTACTGTATATTACTCTAATGCAAAATACTGGTAAATGTTCATCTTTGACAAGAAAAAGATGTATCTATAATTAAAAGACAAAATGACAGAGAGGTGACAAAAATTTAAAATATTTAAATGCTTTGTTGGTTTGTTTTCTACTTGTGGGTTTAAATGTCCCTCTGGTTTCTATTTTAAGGATACATAGACTGGAAAATATAATTGCCCTACTGCAGTAGATGAACCTGGGCTAGGCATAGAAATACCAATAGTTTTTGGTTCGTGTTGCTCAGTATTTATTTCTCTTTTTTCTGTATTGTATGCTATTGTTTTTTCTGTTGGTCTTTTCCTTTTTTAGCCAACTAAAAATCAACTTTTTATTAGTGGATAATATTTAAGTCATATCAAGACATGAACATGTTAATGCGATATGAATTGGTTCTGCTTTGTGTAAGACTGACACTTTGGGCCCAATTTTATACATGCTAAAGTTCATAAGGTAATAGGCTGCAGAAAGACATTCTATATAGATATATTATTATTGAATAAGATCGAACCTACAACCTCCATCGCAAAAGGCGAGTATTCTATTACATGACCACTGGTGTACTTCTAGTGAATTTAATTACAAGTGAAATAGGCTAAGCACAAGGCCATTTAATCTTAAGACAAACAGAAATTAATAAGACAAAAAGTCACTAATTCCGGACACAAAGGTTATAGTACCAATTGTCAAGATTCAGCCTTGAAAATTTTTTTTCTTCATTTATAAATGATTTATTCTTAAAAAAATTATGATTTTTTTTATTTATTCTATAGATGATTTCGAAACTTTGGAAGCAAAATTTATAATGAAAATTAGAAATTAAGAAAAAAATTGTCAATCTAAGAATATATTAATTATTATATCCTTATACATCAAGAAACCTTAGCTTAAAAATCAAATTACAGGCGTCTCATTTGCGTTAACCTTACCTCTGGCTGACAGATGTGATAGGTTGATTACTATAACAACATGTCCAAATTGAATATTGATACAAATAAAAAAAGAGAACTGCTTTTTGCAGATTTCGTCAAAGAATAAATAACTTCCGTACTATTCAATTGTGCGATAAGGGTCTTGTAGATGCATTAAAATGGTACATTAGAAGGACCTTTACTCTCGTGACTTCTGTATTTTTCTCTTCACTTAATATCTTATAGAAATTAAGCATTGTCTATCAATGTTTCCGTGTACTATTTAAAACAATATCAGAAATAATAACGTATGACTGTCTATTTATACTTGAACGAAACACTTTTATGGTAACCAATATTTGACAAGGAAAAAACTGATTTTGTAACGTCAAGCAACCAGTATTTATCATCATGTGCCCATGTAGAATTTCGATCAATTTAAGAAATGAGAATATTTAAAATGTAAAAAAACGATGATTTTGGTACGATTGCTATACATGTTCACCTGAGACCAAATGACGTAGACATCATGATATAAACCCACGTTAACGCTGTGTGCACATATTTTGTTTGCTTGCTCCAATTTACACTTTTTTCTAGCAAGCTTTCGTTTACTATAATTACGTGAACACCCTCAAAATGGAAACTTTTAATGACCACCAGAGTACTGTATGTGAACAGTAATCCATGTAGTAATGTCGGAATAAACGAGGTCTAATATTACACATACAGTTGCATAAAAGTTCAAACTTAGATCCACATTATAAAAGTTATATATTACTTAAAACACAACTAATGTTTCAGAGTTTATGAACTACGCAAAAATTAAAGGTCCTTAGAATAGAATATGTCTCTTCCTCCCTAGAAACATAATTCAATAAGATATGATGTATAGTTCGACTAAGTAACACATTTTTACAAACGAGATAACAAGATGGCGAGTCAAACGCGGAAACCACTATATAGGTATAAATCCTTGTTTTGGGGATCTAAAAGATTTGTAATGCACTGTCATAAACTGTCAACATTAGCACAGACAACGGAATATTCCCCAAATTATTATCTTCAGTATCAATCTCCGATAGGTTCCTTTGATGGTTAATTGGAGAGGAAAAGTGACAAAAAAGGTGCATCAGTTCAAAGATCAATTTTGTTTACTTCATTCGCTGTGTTAATAAGATGCATCAATAGTAACTTGTGAGGGACCAATGGCCCCTGAAGGTATTGAATGGTGAATATATTGTTTGTTTACTCCGTCGTCATAAACTTTACGGGTTTCATATGGTCTATCTTCCTGACCAAAAGTGCGCGCTTGAGGCAGATGCACTTGCCTGATGTTAAAAGTCTCTCTGATGGATAAATTGCCATCAGTAATTTCATTTACCGGTTCAACGTCGCTTAGAAAAGACCCTTTCCTGTCTTTTCTTGACGCCCATTATCATTGAAAATGTTTTCAACGCATCATGGACCACTGTTTACGATACTTACTAGTACAATCACAAAATAGTCATCAGGTGGTGGTGTGACCTTCTATAAACATACATGAATTAAAAACATGTGTATTCAAAAGAGCTTCTAACAGAGACTGAACTCTTCCTCCTTTAAGTTGTGAAGGAATTAATTTTCCGTTTATACAAACGGTCAAGCACACCAAGTCTACCACTGCGCTCAATGCATTTAGAAACTTCAGTCCGATGATTGTATCGATCATTTTTAAATACACACACATATAAATGCACAGTGTGGTGTCCTATAGAAATTACAGTGTTTGTGACAAAGTTGCCAGTAACTGGTTGATGTCCAATTCCCATGAAGAGTACATGTTTACAGTTTTCTGGAAAGATTAAAATCCATGATCTGCTTAGTACAGTTGTAGAAGCAGTGTCGATTGTA